ACATCCTTAGATTACGTTGCCCCTGAAGTCAGGTTGCTAGAGGGAGAAGGTAGTAGTGATACAGAAATGACTGGAACAAATGAAACATACACTGAGTTGACAAGTTTCCACTGCATGCTTGATTCTCATCTTCAGTTTGGAACACGTCTCGCATATTTGGTGCTGACTCCGCTTATGGAACCGCAAGCATTGTCGCCAGCGCTGGCAAACACTAAAAAAGGTGGACCGTGCAGCAGCTGGCTCACCATTGTCACCATGCGTTTTCATGTACGAGACGTACAACAAATACACGTTGCTCCAGCTCCCGTGGGGCAATTCACGCATGGGAAGTGTCTGTGGATTTCGATTCCAAAGCACCTGTGATGTTGCGCCAACTAAACGGTTGTCGATCAGTCTCTCTAAAAGCTCTTGCCGCAGATCTTCCCCTCCTTTGGCCAAGTTAGACTTTGATGCAATCCTCAACAGTTACATAATCACACAGGTGGCCAGTCCATGTTTTTTGTTTAATGTTCATTCTGTTGCTAGCAAGTTGCGCTGTGGACATTGGTTCAGCCGCTGACCAGTACAAGTGAACAAAGAATGCCTCCACACTTGCTGTCTTCTTGGCAGGCTGTGCGCATGGCCCTGAGATGGATGAGCGTTGCGGAGTGGCAGGAAGGGGCAGCTCACACTCACAAGTTCTGTCTAAGAAAAATGACAATGATAGTGAGTACAACTAATTGGACAGGTATCCACCCTTGCCAGATACGGATCTTAGATCCTTTCCTTGGAATACATGCCTACATCTTGTCAAGCGATTCTTGCCGATTCCGAGCAAGTAGGCCCAGGTCTCCCGGCATACCTTGTGTCCTGCCAAGACTGGCAACAACAAAACAATGGATCAATATGAGTCAATTACAGTTCAGTAGCCAACACATTGATTTTGGGATACTTTGGGTACCAACCATACACCCTAACTTGGAGACAGTCCTTGAAGGAACCATTCTTTTCTCCGATTTCCAGCTTCATGCTGAAGCCCCCAAAGAAGGCGATCTTGGATAGACTTGCCCAGTGACCAAAATGCCACACATAGGCGCAGTACGATCCGGTATGGTGCTCGGCATTGGCATGAGCACACAGGTTTCTCCAGTGCACGCTTGAGACGTTTCCCAGACGTGCCACCCTTTGCATAGGTGGTTGACACCCTTTTGGAACTGTGTTGCAATGACGCCAACCGTTCATATGTCAAATCAACAGAACCACATCCATAGGGCTCAGAACTATCACTCTCATCTTCTGAAGCACTGGAATATTCAGAAGATTCGGACTCCGACTCTGTGTCCTCCGATGAAGACCTTGGGTTGCATGAACCCCCAAAGCAATAAGGTTGGAACATGTTGGAATTATACACAATCATCGTTCTTTGTTGTTTGCAACCAGAAGACTCTACATCGTCCCCTGTAGAGCCAGATGATGAAGTTGCACTGAACCGCCCCAACCCACTTGCACCACCCTCATCATCCCACCGGCCAAGGATAGGCATGGGACAGCCGGTGCAAAAAGATGCAAGAAGAACTAGAACATGTTATTTGCTTGTGGTGAACCGCATATATAGCCCCCATGAAACCTTCACCGCACAAGAACCATTGGTGCTTGTTCTGTCAAAGAGTCATGAGATGTCATATATAGCCGCCAAGTTCTTTGGGGGTGTTCAGTCCATAGAAGTAAACCAACATCAATGGCTGCAGTCTACAAAGCATTCAGGAATGCCCTTTCCTGGCAAGCGGGTGGCATTGCAAAGTCAATGATGCTGCCAAGCGTTTGATTGTTTTTCTCATCCACTCCATTGCGGAAGCGCAAGCTGAGAACATCCTGCTAAACTAAATTAGCGCACTTCACATTGCAAGACCTTCCGGTTTACATGCTGACAGTGCTGTGCATAGAAGGGCCAATACGCACCTCAAATTCATGGCGTTGCCGCCAAGGCTGTGCAATACCTCAAGCAAGTTTCATAGTAAGAACACTTTAGAACTATAAAGTTGGTGGAAATTCAACCTTGATCAAGCAACTAGTAGACACCCATTCAACCCAGAAACAGGTTCGCTGACTGAATGCAATCGAAGCCGGTGAATTGGCATCCCCATCAAAGCCATGACTTCACGGCCGATGATGTAACGGCCCTTGGTGGTAGAGATAAATTTTCCACCAGGCCTCAGCCAGAAAAACCATAAGTGAGAAGTCAAAATCAGTGTTGCTGGCTTTTGCTGTAGAACATTCTGTTCTAGGAGACACACGTTAGGCAAGGTAGGTGTTGGGAATCATCCTTCAACAGCGGCATTTGGTTCACAGACTGGCTGGTGTTGGCAACGCTGATTGAACCGTGTAGTGCCAGCAACATATCCAGAGCCTCCCAGCGGAATTGTCAGTCTCTTGGCCCATGTGGTTGGGAATGGTTGGGATATAGCACACCCCGCCTGACTCTCTCTACGGCTGGTGAGTTGTTTGGCAGCTTTGGGATATTTCTTGCTGAACCCATTCAAGGACTTCTTGAAAGAGACCTGCATACAGTGCTCCAAACCAAAAGAAGGGAAGCCTATGAAGCACCACTCGAAATGGCCTTGTGTTCTTTCGCCCAATCTCTGTGTTTTTGGATCCACTTGGCATTCCTGTCTATCTGCCTGGGACCATCAACCCGCACATGCTCATATGTTTTCCTGGATGTGGCACGCAATTCCCAAACTGAACAGTCAAGTTGCCTTTTTGCAGCTCGACAGCGGAGCCTTGTCCGCTTAGCCATGTCCTTCTGAACTGCCGGGTGATTCTCTGGAAGCAGCAAATCTTTCCTCAAGCTGCCGCAGTGGAGTGGTTGGGGAGAAACGGAGAAGCTGACACACGCACACACACACACAAGGGCGCATTCAGGCAAAAAATAATTCAACTGGGACTTAGGGCAAGCATCCATGCAACTGTAGTTTTTCTAATGTGCATTGACTTCAACTTCTTCTGGACGTAATCAAAAAAGTCTACACCTAGTGCCTCATCAGTCATTGCAGACTCCTGGATTAGCAGTGCATAGATCCTTCTGCGGGAGATCGGAGCCCCGTAGGTTGGCCTTGCTGGGAAAGAAAGTGGGGAGAAAGAATGGGAAAGAATGCAAACAACAAAGCACTCTTTTAACCTTTCAACATACATTGTCTGCGTTGAAAATGCAAGAAAGCAGCGGGTTCATAGTCACATACACCCTCCTGTACCTTGGGAGTGAAAGAAACCCGTGAATGTGCAATGCAATCCACACACTGCAATGCATTTTGAGCAAGGGTACCCTGGTAGGTTCTTGTCGAGGAAGTTGCCGACTAACTCTGCTACTGCTGCGAAGCCCATCACGTTTTCCAAGATAGCAACCTGAGAAGTGGCGGTGGTTCTGCTTTGAACATATTGTTGAACATATTGTTGAAACTTTGACAGCTCGCCCCCTTGAAGCAAATTATAGTCCAAGCGGCTTTCGGTCGGGTCACCTTCATGCGGCGGACACATGCAAACAGCTGTTTGCTGTTTGGATCTTTCAGGCAGAGGCGTTCCCCAAGGAAACTATACGGAGTGCAGGGGAACCCTGCCAGGTACACAGATACCTGTGGCCGGTTGGATGTAGCCAAGAGACAAAGTCTGCGCCAGTAGTGTGTCGATGCACAACTGAAGTCTTTCTTACATTACAAAGCAAGGCACTTTGCCAATGAGAGGCGAGTTGTCCTGCTTGAAGACCGAAGCTGTGAGCCTGAATTGAAAAAGGTGTGATGCAGGTAGGGTGCCCAACATGGATCAAAAATTCTCAAGAAGAATACTCTTGAAAGAAAACATTAAGACTAAGCACTGTCGACTATCCATATTCTCCTCCAAGAACATTCGCTTTCGCGGGTTGATCTCAGAAGCAGCCCTTAGTTTCTGGCACAGATCTCTTGGATAGAAATCAACATTGGGAAGTTGTTGCAAAGCAAATGGAGCCTAGAGGCAAATGCTGCAAGATCCCTTTCTTGTTGGCTGCTTCCACCAGCATTTGGAGCCCCATGTATGGGACATCGGCTCCCGAGCCTGATGCCCGACATGAGCTACAGATTTGTGAAAACAATGATTGGACAAACATCAACGGCCCACTTGCAAGCAAGATGCAATCTGACACATAGTTCAGATTGCCACCCGGCCAGGTTTCAAACCATGAACTCAAACCTTAGAAAGAAGGAAAGATGGAGAGAAACCTGAGCCACAGGAAATCCAGGAGATATGACAGTGAACCCCAACTTGCCATGCCATGCAACCAGAAAGACGGAGAAAAAGTTCTCCCACTTCAAGGTATTCCTCCAACTTCTTCGGAACTGGGACATCTGGGATTTCCTGAAAGGGTTAGATTTAGGGATCCAATATGATCGAATTGTTACATGTGTTTCTTCAACAATCCCTTGCACTGCCCTGGCTCCTCAGAATCCGATGAAGAAGATTCTGAGCTTGAGGATGATTTCACCATGGCTGCACAGCCAGGGCAACACCTCTTTGGGCCATAGTGCTGCTGGGGACCGGCCTTTGAAAGCAAAGACTCACTCCTGTTTTGGATAAGCCCCACTCTCTGTTGGACAAGTCTTATAGTAACCGCTATGTTTGCCGGTCACTGTGTGGATGGAGGATGGATCGTTAGTTCTTTTCCCCGTAACGCCATGATGTACCCCAGACACTCCATGTATGGCATCTCTTCAACCATACCATGGAAGGTAGATATGCCATTTCCCATGGAGTGTTTGGGCGCCACACTCCCACAATCTCGTTACCCTCAATTTTTGTTGCGCCCGAACCATCAGTCTTGCTACTGTTTGTTGGAGCAAGCACATGCTGGTGCTCAGGGGCTTGGCATCCTCGATCTTTGAAACGCCAACCTCTCGTGCACATGGTTTTGTACATCCATTGTCTACCAAAATCAGAACCCCGCTCTACTCTCACCACACTGAACCTTTGCCTGGCCAGTTGCTTGCTTGGTCATGCAGGCTGCCGTGCGGCAGAAGCTGAGCTTTCCGAGTACCAAGCACAACTACGCGCTGGCGAAGCTGCTTCGAGCTCAGATGGTAGGTTCATATCTTGAAAATGCAAGGCACTCATCAAGTGTTGTCGAGGACCTGGAGACATGATGTCACAGCAGTTCATGTATAGACTTGGACCAGATCCTATACTTTGGATTTTGGGGTTTGCACGTTGACTTCAAAGTCTCAAGCCAAAGATGCAGGATTGGATGTGAGTCATGTGTGAATCCTGTTGGCCCTCAGCTGGTCATTTTTGCTGTCAGTGTCACCGTTTGCCCAGCAGAGCTCCGGTTTCTTTCGCTCGCTCGCCTCTGGTGTCACCCGCACCGCGAAGTCTGCCCAGGAGTTTGCTGCCGAGCTGGAGTCTTTGGCCACCCGACGTCCGGAGCTCAGTGGAACGCCAGTGGGCGCGTACCGTCGCGACGGGGGAGCGCCGGCGTGCGCAGAGCGCGCACGCGCGGAGTACGGGTTGGAGCGTCGGAGCCGTTCCTTTTGGGTGGCCCTTGGGGTCGGTGCTTCACATCTTCAGAAATTTAGAAGGAGTCCGACACCCATATCTGCGAGGATAGATCAGAGAAGCCGGTCAGGTGGGGGTGGAAAAGACTCCACAAGCCATTCAATCCATTGGTGCAGCTTGGTGAGGTCGGAGCTTGGAAGCGTCTCTGCGAGACTCTTCCGCAACCCTAGCTGATGCTGAAGCAGTGTGGTTACCAAGTGAATACCAGCGACGCTTTTCGAGAGAGACCGGAAATAGAAGGCATTAGAGACGTTTGTTCTTTTGTTGTTAAAACAGGTCTTCGAATTCAACTGCAGAACAAGTACTCAAAAAAGGCAACATCCGCTGCGAACATTTAAAAACTGTACTATGAACAAAAAGTACAGGTTGGAAGAAACATACATTGTTGGATCACGTTGGTAGTTTTAAACAGTATGAATTCCAGTATGTTACTACGAAAACAAATGGATTGTTGAAGACCGGAAATCCTCAGACCAGTCCATTGAGTCCATCTTCGGGCGCAGGAGGTGGCCGAGACTCGCATGCAGAGTCTGGGTTTGCGAGCACAGCTGGAGGCCGTTTGGTAGTCCGATGAAGCAGAGGTAGTGATGAAGCCAAACTATTCTTCCCCAAGGCCTTCTATATATAGCCAGTGTATAAAGTGTGTAGTATACTATACAAATATAGAATCAAATAGACGGTATATATCTAAGTCAAACCCAGAAGAAGCAGAAGAAGCTGGTGGCCTTGTCATTCGGCGTTTGGAGGACTGGAATGTTGTCACCTTTGAAGGTTCTGGAAGCTGCCCGGGATGAAATTGCTGCGCAAGAGCACCAGGCTAAGGGCTCCAAAGTTGTAACAGAGTGTTTGTGTCGGTCTATGTGAATATACAGTGGCATCCACATCCAAGTTGTTTAAGATGATAGAGCGACACATTGGTTGGAGATACTGAGGCTAAGGCTGACTGAATATGCATTGAACACGCGGAGTGCGCATGTTAATGACCTCCCAGTCCAGATGAAGTACTCGCCGTTGGCGCATTACCAGACACTGTGGTGTGGGGCGAAGATTGACCATTGTGCCCTAGGGGAATTGTTTGATGGCCACGGTTTGGCAAACTGGTTCGTGCTTTGGAAGATGGATTGACCAGCGTCAGAGCAGTCGTACGTTGCATCCTCCAAACATCGTTTTTGGCACCAAGTTCCTTGGATTGGGCAGGCCAGCATGCAGCAGCGGGAAGAGGCCGGGCCTGGGCGAAAAGAATGACTCCCATCGTGCTATGAGCCGATTGATCGATCACATATCACACCCTCATGTCATGCTCGCATGACATAGGCATGTAATAAAAGAACGATAAGCAGAGTGCAAGCTTCTGAATACTTCAGGTATGCCCAAGAAACACCTTCTCTCCCGTTCTTCCATCCTGTTTGCGTTCCGGTTGCTGTGTCGCCCACAGGTGAAGCGGCTGGAATCCTTGGCTGCGAACCTGGCATCAGAGGCCGGGGCGAACTCGGCTCCAGAGTGACTGGTGTTTGTTTCCAATGTGTTTCCAGGATCTGAAGAGACTTGGGATTGGGATGGTTTGGGTTTAGGCACGTGTTTTTGTCTTTTTGTCATGCTTCAGCCTGCTGTTTTGTTTGCTCCTATGAAACCCCGAGGGTGAGCACCTTGAGATCTCTGGGCAATGGACTTGGCAACATCAGTTCGCACATGAGCCCTATGGCCTTTGGCACTGTAAATTGTTTTGCTAAGCTTTTTCAGAGGCTATGGTTAGGTCGGTTAGGTTATTCATAATGGCAATGACATGGTGTCAACTTCATTGATGGTTGTTTTGGAGTTTACTTCCCAGACGCGACCCACATCGGCCAACAACAAACGGCTGGTCACTATACAGCGCTCCCGCGCCACATGCTTGCTTCGGCAAACGGCGATGAAGACAGTGATGTTTGGAGACCCCTCAAGTAAGTTCAAGAAATCACGTTGGATCTATGTTCATTATTGAGATATTCTTTGAGAGGTATCATGTTTTAATACATACGATTACATACCCATATTGCTATACAACTGACACTCCGTTGGTTGCTGTGTTTCTGTGTTTATCCAGTGACTGTTGCTTGTAGGCCAAAGAGATCTCTCAACGGCACGTGAAGGTTACCACATCTTTGCAGGACGGACTAACCAACGGCACCAGCGGTGGTTGGGGACGGGTGCGAGCTAAGCGCTGCAGATTGGCAGTTGGTTGAGCTTTGCTGTCGTCTTATACTTTTTGTGTCTTCTGCATATTTGTGAAGGGAAACAATCTCATATTTGTAGCATCTAATGCGTCTAACGTAGTTATTCTGAAGTTATTCTAATGAACCAAACTCGGAGACCCTGAGGTTGTCCCATTGACAACAGCCAGAGAATCACTTCAAGTCATATACAGAACTGAACAGAATAACTATGTCATAATATGATCGATATAGATAACATACAGACTTCTGTTTTTGTTGGCAGTGGGCAAGTGGACCCCAAAATGCCGAGCTCCGTCCGTGACTGCAGGAGCTTCAAAAAGCCCAGGAGCGAAGGTCCAATGCCTCAGATCGCACAGATAGGCCACATCCGGTGGATTGAGAGTAGATGGCAGAATTGGATAGAATTGGTCCCAAAAGTAGAGGTTGTTGAGATGAAGGATGAAAACGGATCCGGGCATGTTGGATGTTGGAAGGTTGTGCCATCTACTCTGAAAGCACCGTAGTTTGGCAGGGTTTTGACGAGTCACTCAGCCTGGTGAGCGGGACGAACGCACAAGCCACTGACCAAGGGAAAGTGAGAAGACCCAGGAGGACTGCAAGAAGTAGTGATATTAATCGGCTCAAGTGACCTCAGGATACCTCTGTCAGGTCATTTGAATATATTATATATTCAGATTTGTTTGGGAGTCGTTTTTCATGTTGATTTCACTTCACCACGTGTCCCACTTGCTGAAACCACCCAGGCCCTTCCAGATCCGCCCTTCAAAACGTACGAAGGGTGGTCCCACCGACCTTTTGAAGCTGAAACCTCAGACTTAGGAGCCCACTCAGCTGCGGAAGATGAAGTTGATTTTGCTGGATCAGGTGATGGACGTTCATCTTTTCCATGTGGGTGAATCCCCGGTCTACGGATATATATTTTTAATTGTTTGTTTTTTTGTAAATACTTTTCCTGTTCCTGGACAGCCAAATCCGGCTGCAGATGCTGAAGCTTCGGTGGTGTATTCTACTCTCCTGCACCAGGACGCACTGGGTTTGGCCCGCACAGCTGCCGCTGAGCGCTGTAGACGTGCGCGAGAGGAAGTGGCTGAGGCTCGTTGAACGAAAGTGGAGCAGTGGTTTGGTACATAAGATGTCAGCAGAGCTGGCTCCATGTGTTTTCTTTTCAGTATCCTTCCACATTTGCTTTTGCTTCTGCTGCTGCATGCTCTCAGAATAGAAAGATCCCCAAGGAAGCATCAAGTTAAGGGAAGGTAGATGAAGACCTGTGCCAAAATCTCTCTGTTTGCACGCGCGGTCATTTCCCAAATCGTTTTGGTCCCAGAATAGAGGCATAGAAAAGCCTTTTTAAGCCTTTCAGGGGAAGATTCTTCACCATGGGAGAAAGTCGGGAAGTGTGTGTTTGGTGTTTTTTTTTACTTGTTCTTTAAACCACTCGCTCTGTTCGACGAGCGAGTCGTGACATGTCGCAGACCATGTCGCTCTCCACAACGTCCGACGTCCGATGGGTCGCAAAGGCCGAGCAAAGACTGGGAAGTTTCCTTCGTCAATTGGGAGAGGAGCGCTGTCGTGGACTGGAGTTGGCCAGACTCCTCAGATCTTGGCCAGATCGATCTAATTAGTCTATGCGTTCAAGATGGCAAATGAAGATGCTCGTTTTTTTCACATCGGAGGGAGGAGATGTAAACTGCAGAAGATCCAAGACTTCATGCGCTGAGGAGGGAATTCGTGTCTCGATCTCTGCTTCTTCCACGTCGAAAAGGACGACGAGTCGCGATCGCATCGAGTTTCGTCCTCGTCTCAACCTCGCCGCCACGAGGCTCGCGAGCTGACGGCTGCACGAGATGCTGCTGCAGCTGCAGGCGCGAGGGCGCGAGCTTCTAGAATGGCCCGGGGGAGATGTTCAAAAAGAAAAAACACATAAACTTAGCAGCTGACTTGGTCGAATTGTTCAAAGATGTTCAAAGGTTTTTGTTGAACGTTGGAGCTGTGTGACAGAACTCAACAGGAGCTTTGACATCTTCAAACGGATTGAATTGAACATCATGTTGACCCGCTTTGCAGGGGCTCCGCTTCAGACCAAGCCAGTGGTGTCCTTGGGCAGAGCGCTTTCGAACTTCTTAGTGACCTTAAAGAAGGTTTAAGAACCATCAAAGACCTTCAAGAGTCAAATGATTCCAATGCAAAGTGTCAATGTGAAGTCGTGGTGGACCCCCGCATAAGCCTCTGAATTTTTGTTAACAAAGCAGATCGATGTGGCGCGCTTCAGCGCCATGCGTCGCTCAAAAGTCCACGTCGCGTCTCGTCGCTGAACCTCCAAGGTGCGTCGCTCGCGGAGTGCTTCTTGGCGCTGACCCGCTGTGTCCACGGGAGAGGAATCAGCCCACCAGAGAAACGCAGCAAGGACCACTCGGCTACCGGCTACGGCTACAAGTCGAAATAGCCGAAAATGGACCAAGCGGAGAGGAATCCCAATTCAAACATATTCAAACCATATCCAGTTGGTGGGTTTCTCTATGTTTCTCTACTCCGTTTCTGCATCTTTCGAGGGGCAAGAAGCAGCTTTGGGCTGCCATAGTCTGAGGTATTGACTTCTTTGATAGCCATGAATGATGAATTCGTGGAACAGCCCGGAGAAACGCATCATCATTCTCTGCTCCTGCTGCCCCTTCCACACCATGGTGAATCTGGTGTCGTCCCAGCCAAGGCGAAATCGGCGAAATCGACCAAAGTCATGTCGTGGCCCAACACAGACTTGCCCGAAGCTCAGCGGCCCAGGCCGAAGAAAAATTCTTTGGGATGTCGTGATTGTTTCACATCACATGTTTTCGGCTGCTTGAGTCACTGGGTGCAATTGAGTCACTTGAGTCACTTGTGTTGCGTACCTTACCTTCATACCACCAGCTAGGCAAGAGACCTGGTCAGCCAGTGCCTTGCGCATGCAGCGGGAATTGGAGTTGCTCCAAAGGCCCCTCTGCTTCACCGCGACTCGACGAAGCATGGGACGCGGTGGGACGCGTGCGAGAGCCGGACGCAGGTGGAAGGCTGATGCTCTTTCTGTCTTGCAGCAGATGCAGGCAGCTCAACTGGCCCTGGCATGTTTGTTTTGGAAGCTGAGAAGAGCAGCGCCAGAACCGCCAGAAACATGTCGCCATGAAGCTGTGTCAGCACATGGAAGCACTGTTTGAAGCACAGTTGCGCATTTGCGATGAATCATGATGAATCACAGTCGTCCCAGACGTGACCCGAATCCCGTCGTCCCACAGCAATAGCAGGTCGATGTGTCCTCGGCACAGGAGAAAGGGTCTGGGAGGCTGCTATGCTTGTCTCAACTCCTGAATTCATTACATGGTCATGGTCATGGAGCTTCGTAGAGTTGATCTGGTTGAATGAGAGCATGAAATAGCATAGAACATATTACAGTATCCAGTCCGCATTTGCCAGGACAAATATCGCCAGCAGCTACAGCAGAATCAAGCTTTGCAGAAGCGGCTGGAGAACATGGGCCAGATGCCTGGTGTTTCTTGAGAATGCGGTTCGCTGCAACATGCATCGGAATGGAGACTAGATGACATCATATGACCCAACTGTATGTCATCAACAAACTCTATGGGAAACGGATGTGATGAAACTAAAAACATATACACAAAACGCAAAACTCAAAATGCAATTTCACTGCGTTTTGTTTCTGATCAAACATGCCCTGAACATGTTCCTCATTGTAAGCCCTCAGAGACCAATGAAAGGTGTCTTCCCGGCCCAGTGCCAGGAGTCTTACTGATGCTCCCAAGCATGTCACATTAAGCGGCAAAGAAACGCCACCTCAGTTTAAGTAACATGTTGCAGGCACCACCCCCACCTTTCCTTCATGTCCAGGTGGCCCTGTACCTTCAACAGCAGCGTCAGAAGCCGAAAACGCAGTCCGACGCAGTCGAAAGACGCGAAACGACGGGACGTGACCATGGGGGACCCGCAGTGTCCCGCAAACCGGTGGGCGCGCTTACCATCAGGCACAACCCTTACCACCTTGGCTGTAGGTGATAAAACTGTGAACATTTGTTTGGGTCTATTCAGCGCACAATTGGTCAGTCCTTTCACGTTCTTCCAGCTGTTAGAACTTTGATCACGCACATGTCCCAGCGAAAGCGAACGTGTTGGGTGCGATACTTCAGTGGCGAGCTTTTCAGTACACTGAGGTTCTAAACAGCCAGCATTGCCAATGACAAAAAGGGGTGCGATGCTGGCTCGTGTGATGCCAGCCTCGCCCATGCTAGCTCGTTCGCTTGCTCGTTTGCTTGTTGCTTTGGACCCAAGAAATTCAAGCTAGACATAGCGAATCGACCAAGTCGACCAATACTTCTTTGCGAAGAGACATGATCATTGATCATGTGTGCGCTGCTTTCACTGGCTTCAGCTTAGCGATTTTGCGAAGCCTCTTGGCACTGAACCGCTCGACAGTTACCACACGCAAGCCTCGTTGCGTCCAAAGCTCAGAGCCGTCGCGGTGGTTCTTCAGAGCGGTTCGTTGGGGTGATCGACCGCATGTGTGTGTGTTCTGTACGCCGCTCCGCTAAGGTCCCAGCCCCCCTGAAGGCATGGCAGGCTGGCAGTGGCATCCTGGCATGTGGTGGCAGCGTTGGGTTCTTTCCAGATGAGCAAGATGATGATCTTTATGCAGCTCAGGGGAGAGCTCAACTGCTGCACACTCATGGTCTTTGGTCTTCTTGTCTTGCTGAGGTATTTCCTCTCCGTGCTCATTCTGAGACGATCTTGCGTTGCAGACTCTTGCGAAGGTGACAGCTTCTTCGCAAGATGAGTCAGGATAGTCAGGTCGAAGGTGACAACCGCCGGCTTCTTTTCGCACGCAGCTGTCGGATTCGCTCTCTATCGGATTCTCGCAGCTCTCTGATTCAACTGCATCACTTCCATTCCAACCCAGGGCAAAAGTAAGTCATCCCCAGGGCGCCCAGGGGATGGGGTCCTTCAACCTGGTACTTGTAGGTCTGGTGCACCATGTGTGAATGACCCGGTCCACGTAGGTTAACCCTGGTCAGTATCCTGGTGCCAGTTCCGCACAGCCAACTGGAACAAATTGTGTTCATGTGTTTTCACGCCAACCGTTTTCCAAGGTTGCCTGGATCAAAACTCTTTGCTGCAGACTGCAGACCGCTCACGGCAGTTGTCCACCGAAACTGGAACCTGCTCGGTTGGTGCGCATGTGACATGACAGCATTTCATGCGCCCAAATCCGGAAGTGCCAAATGCAGTCATGACTAGGCTTTCTTTGAGGGGCATTTCAGGGCTGTGCATGACCTCCATCAGAGAAGCATCCAATTCAGGTCAGCCAGAAGAAAACATGTTTCGCTATCGGTGTTTTCAGTGGCTAGAATTGACACCTACACTACGCCCATGTAGTCTTGGGCCTTGGGAACATGTTGCTTAGTATTTTTTCATTGTAGGTGGTCAGTGCTGATGATGATGATGATGATCATCATCATCATGATCATGATAATGATCATGATTATGAGTATTATGATTATTGTTATTATGATCAACAACACGGCGTGGACAGGACAAAAACACTATTTCGATGGGCGTGGGCTGCATCCAATTTCACTGGTTCAAATCGAGTCCGGTTGATTTTGTCGCCTCATTGGGTTGATTTTGTGCCCACCTGGTGAGAATTTTGGGTCGGCCCACGTCGCACTTCGATGGCTCCTGAGGTGGCCTGCCCGGGCTCTTCAGCCTTCTGCGTTGCTTGTCGTGTCGGTGGAGCCGCACGGACTGGCTGGGTGAACCGTAGAATCATCGTCGATCAAAGGCTTTGGATGGGAGGGTCATGACTTTCTCTACGTACTCGTAGTTGTTTGAAATGATCAAAGGCTTTGGACGAAACTCGTTGGTTTTGTTTCGGATAAACACCTTATAGACATTCCATGTGAATTTACATACATTGACCCCTGATCCCTGAAACCACCCCAATGAAGGTAAACATGCCATAGTGCGACAGTCTCAGACATGGTTTGGAGCCCTCTCATGAGATTTCATGGAGCGGCCCTGCAAATGGATGAAGACCCGCACCTCAGGCTGGCAATGAATGCTGCCCTGGCGCCCCAACCTTTCCGTGCCCTTCTGCGTCGCCAGATTTCGTAGGGTGTCGCGTGGAGGCAGTTGAGAACATGTTTTTTTTTGCAGAAGTTGTTGCTGTAGACTGCCTTAGGCTTGCTTGCTTCGCAGATCTTCGCAGTGTGTTCTTGTGTTGCACTGTTGCACTGACTTGCATGGATAAAACTACTACAGCACTTGGGAGCATGAGAACTTCTGGAAAATGTGTCTTCGATTGAGTGTTCAAACAGCGAACTCATTACTGCTCCACATGCTGATCCACTGTATGCAAACGATGGACGGGTACCAAAACAATTTAAGGCAGGCTATGTTTAACCCAAAATGTCTTGGAGGCACCAAAACTCATCAGCAGCATGGAATGGGCAACGCCGTGATGACTGCCGTGATGTATGTGTGAGGATTTGAGCAATCACAGACAGGGGGATAAAAGTGTGAAAGTAATATATCCGAGGGTATATAGTTTAGAAGGAATGTTTGTTCAGCCTCCCAAAAGGTAGGAATAGAATTGAAACGTCATTGTTCCGAAGTCCCTGTTTTTCTTCCCAACACTCCAGTAATGAGCTTTCCTGTTGAAAGATCAAGTTGGTGTGTCTAGTCAGGGCCTCGGGAAGGCTCGTTGGTTTGGCGGTATTGCAAAGTATTTGCAGTACTACTACGAGACTTCGGTTACACCATGCCTAGGCATCACCAATCAGATTGTGTAAGG